ACAATTTCTGCTTTGGTTGAACTGACCAAATATTTTGTGGGATTGCTGGATGAAAAATTTCATCTAAATTACGTAAAATAATATCTCTAAATGTTGTTTTATTTCTAAGTTTGGTGGTTCTATCTTCATCAGTAAACAAGTTGTTCTCATTGTTCTCCCACCAAAATCTATCTGAATTTCTAATATTTGTAAACTATTAAATAAATAAATAAGTGATAAACAGGCAATGAAAAATAAATAAATAGATGGTAAAGCAAACAATGAAAATATTAGATAAAACAATAATAAGTAATAATAATAATAATAATAAATAATAATAATTTTAAATAAATGTTACCTGAGTGACCATACTAGCATTCAATAATTCACCAAAATTTGTTCCATTCAAATGATCTTCGGCCATTGCTCCAACCAAAGCTTCTAATTGATTAGTTCCATTAGGATACAATTGTTGTAGGTTATCCTGTATTTCTTTAACCGAAGTTATATCTGCCCATGTATCTTTTTTTTTTAAACCATATGCCTGACGAACATCATTATATAATGCAATTCCTATAATATATGCATGTTAACATTATTTCATATATATATATAAAATACATAAAACACACACATATTCATACCTCTATCTCTAGCTCTTAGTGCATCAAATGCCACAAGATCATAAGTGTTTGGTTCAGGTGATTGAACATTTCTTGTTGCATCAGAATAATATATATCAACATCTTCTTGACGTTGCAAAGACATTGATCCCAACAAATTTGCTACACCAAATTTTTCTAGTAAATTTAGTTTCATAGTATTTTGTAATGATAATTCCACGATTGCATTACCAAATTCATCTTGAATTTGATAAAAATCACTCAGCTCACTATGACTATATCTGAATGTTATTGTTGAAAAAAAAACATCAATTCCTGGAGTTAGATCTGGATCATATTTTTGATATGGTGATAATGGTTTACCCAGTATAACACCAAGATATTCTTCAGTAACAACTCTTTGATAAAATGCAATATTCCATTTCCTCTGATTAATTAAAAAATTAAAAAATTAATTATTATTATAATTATTACTATATTACTATCATTAACAAATATAAAACCTACAGCCTCTTCAAAATATTGATCATCAGTCCATGCATCACCATTTTTTTCATAAAACTCATCACATAATCTATTATGTTCACGTAACCAAATAGTCAGAATAGCCATTGTAAAAACATTAATTGCTCGCTTTCCAACAGGTCCAGTAACATAATTTCCTGTTGTTGGATCCTTAAATGGGTAAGGATCATATGCATTTCCACTGGTCTTTAATTTTCCTCTATTACCTTCACGAAGATTTTTTGCATTTTCAGCAGTGACACCATAAATAGGACTCAAGTCCAGAAAAGGAGTTGCCTTATTGTAACCAGTACGCTTGGGTGTTTGTGTAGGAAGAAAATCTGATCGATTAAAAGCAAGTGACTTCGAATTACTTAATTGACCTGGTAATGATGTTATTGAATTATATGTTGCATCATCAGATGGTATATACAATTGATGACTTGATTGAACAGAGTTACTTGAACTGATAATATCAAAATTAACAAATAAAGCAAAAAAAGTAGCCTAGAAAGAAAAATCAATTATTTAATTCAAAAAATCAATTCGAGAAAACAAATACAAATAAACAGTTGTTAAAAGAATTTTTTTTACCAAATGACTAGTTTGTCTTTTAGATCGATAACTCGTTGCCTTTGCAACATCAAATTGATCTAATTGATAATTAGTTATAATATTAGAGATACATCTTGGCATTGGATAAGTATCGGCTGGTAATGGATCAGTACACTTGGGTATTGGTTGTTTTGGGTCAGTGTCAACAATATCAGAAGGAGTTTTTATCATTGAATCTCCATCTGGACTAATATTATTTATGAAAGAAAAATTATCAAATCATTAATTATTTATTTAATAAATGGTTTAATAGCAGTACTAAAATGATATGATTACCCAAAAAAAGGTTTAGGTGGATATTTCATTTGAAAAGTTTGATTTGGGGTACCAGAAGTTGGATTATTTAAATTATTATCACTACCATCTGTAAGTCGAGATTCTACTTTACATGATAACAATAAAAATATTATGAATAATATCAGCAGAAGAAGAATTGACGAATTTTCTCCTCCTCTTTGATGATTATAAAGCATTTTTATTTTTCACTTTTTTTTTTGAAGAAATAAAAATAATTTTAATTCTTTAAAACAAATAATTATTGAAAGAATTGGATTTAAATAAAGTTTTATTAGATCATTGGATTAAAAAAAATATTTAACTCCGAAATTCGCATTCACGAGAGAACATTTGATTAATAATACTGACGTGTAAAACCTGTTTTTAACGAAGCTCACATTCATTTGGAGTTAGTATGTTTTGTGAATTTTTTATATTGTAGCACCCCATGTTATAAATAAGGAATTCAAAGTTCCTTCCATAAACTCTATTTTGGTACTGATTTACATCGTAAAATTTACACGTTTTTTTAAAAGTTACGCCATATAAAACTGTTGTTGATTAGTTATTAAAATGCCAATTCGTGAAAGAATTGAAGAGGAATTGTTCCTAAATCTATCGAAAGCTTTGATGAAGACGAATTGGGATATTTTGAAATTAGTAGAAAAGGTTTCCGGACAAATGCTTTGTTGTTGCTAGAGATGGGCAGATCAGTACTATACGTATAGTGCGTATAGTTCTAGAAAAATATAGTAGTAAATGTAAATCAATTACTGTTTAGGTTATTGCCAAATAATAGATGTGATGTTACACATAAAAATTAATTAATACTCTTCCTACGATAATATATATTTTAAACTTTCCTGCAATTTGGCGACATTTTAATATTAACGTTCTAGTTCAATATCTAGATGTGAAAAACATTTACGTCTTTGTCCAAATGCCACAATTCAAATTAAAAGAAATTATTTTGGAGAACATTTTAATACTTCAAATACTTGGTGTACAGGTAAATTACAACATAATTGAAGAAT